AAAAACAAGTTAATGAGCCGTCAATTCCTTTAAGAACTTTGGACTTCATAAGAAGAAGCCCAACTCCCATCGTCCTGTAGAATAAGAGATGAGGAACCCATGCAAGACAGGTAAAAAACCCAACTGAATGGGCACAAAAATACCAACCGGGAAATATTAGATCTATTATATTCATTAACATAAATTTATCTTTTTAAGCTCAAAAAACGATATAAATTGTAAAATCCAAGGACAAAAATAAGTTTTTTAGTTCATTTAGTGATCGAAAAACGAGCACTAAACACACCCCCAAACTTTAAACATAGCTCGTCCCGAGCAATAAAAATAGAATAAAAAGAATACTCCCTGATGGCATGTCATCTCACATGATATGATAATCCAAGAACTCATATTGTTGATGGCTGATCTTTAAGCATAGCTCGGACTTTTTCTTTTCCACGACTCTCACTTCATCACTAACTACCTGGATAGTAAACAAGGGCTGCACACTCGATAGATTTATTAGAACAAATATGAAACCATGCATAAACAAAAATAAATGAAAATTTCAAAAATAGAAATAAAATAAAACCAAAACCATAACAAATAATAAAATAAAATAAAAACTAAAACAAACATAAACATAAAAACTAAAACTAAAACAAGAAAAAAAATGACTAAATCATTCTCCAATTGGCTTTAGGTGAAGCACAGCCACATCCTCTTTTTCTTCTCCAAAATAATGTTTCACTCGTTGCCCATTCACAAGGAATCTTTCTCCATCCTTCTCATTTATTAGCTCCAATGCACCTCCTGGACAAACCTTGGCAATCTTAAAAGGGCCAGACCATCTTGACTTCAGCTTTCCTGGGAATAACTTTAATCTTGAGTTGAAAAGTAAAACTAATTGTCCTTCAGCAAATTCCCTTCTCAAGATCTTCTTGTCATGCCATTTCTTAACTTTTTCCTTTTGAATTTTGGCATTCTCATACGCTTGCATCCTAAACTCTTCAAGTTCCACCAACTGCTTCATTCTTTTCTTTCCAGCTGCCTTCATGTCTAAATTCAACTCTTTCAAAGCCCAATAAGCTTTGTGCTCAAACTCTAGTGGCAAGTGGCATGCTTTTCCAAACACTAGCTGATATGGGGACGCCCACAAACTTGTTCTGTAGGCAGTCCTATAGGCCCATAAAGTGTCATCTAACTTTATTGCACAATCTTTTCTTGACCCATTTACAACTTTTTCAAGAATGGACTTCAATTGTTTGTTATTGGCTTCAGCAAGACCATTTGTCTGAGGATGGTAAACAGTGGCAACTCAATGCTTTATCTTGTACTTAGCTAAGACGGCCCCCAACATTCTATTGCAAAAATGAGTACCTTTATCACTGATGATTGCCCTAGGAGTGCCAAATCTAGAGAATATTTGCTTCTTTAGAAAATTGATTACGGTTCTCGCATCATTTCTCACACATGCTACAGCTTCAACCCATTTAGAAACATAATCTACTGCAACTAAGATATACATCTTTCCATCAGAAGGCACAAAGGGTCCCATGAAATCAATCCCCCAAACATCAAACAACTCCACTTCCATTATATTACTTAGTGGCATCTCTTGTCTTCTTCCAATATTTCCAGTCCGCTGGCATCTGTCACATCTTTTCACAAACTCATACGCATCTTTAAATATACTTGGCCAATAAAATCCTGAATGAAGGACACGTATTGCAGTCTTTTCACCTTGAAAGTGACCTCCATATTCTGAGTTGTGACATTTTTCTATAATTTGCTTTTGTTCCATTTCTGGGATACACCTTCTCCGCATCTTATCAGCATTTCGTCTAAACAAATACGACTCATCCCAAAAATAGAATTTAGCATCAGACATTAGCTTCTTCTTTTGATGCCAACTAAACCCATCAGGAAATACACCACCTACCAAGTAATTCACAATGTTAGAATACCATGGATGTTCTCCACTCACTCTCAAAATCCTCTCATCTGGAAAGCTATCTTGAATCACTGGTTGATCATATTTTGTACTCTCTTTATCTAACCTTGAAAGGTGATCTGCAACCACATTCTCAACTCCTTTCTTATCTCGCACCTCTAGATCAAACTCTTGCAACAACAAAATCCACCTGATCAATCTTGCCTTAGCATCCTTTTTTGCCATCAAGTATCTGATTGGTGCATGATCCGTGTATACAATCACTTTTGCACCAATAAGATATGATTTGAACTTTTCAAGTGAGAATACCATAGCTAAAAACTCTTTTTCAGTGGTTGTGTAGTTCAATTGTGCGCCATTCAGGATGGTGCTAGCATATTATATCGTGTGGAAAAACTTTCCTCTTCGCTGCCCAAGTACTGCACCAATGGCTATATCACTTGCATCACACATGATCTCAAATGGCTCATCCCAATCAGGTGCAACAATGACAGGTGCACTAGTAAGTCTTCTTTTCAACTCCTCAAATGCTCTTTTGCATGAACCATCAAAGATAAACTCTCGATCTTGCTCCAAAAGTTGGGTAAGTGGTTTTGCAATTTTTGAGAAGTCTTTTATAAAACGCCTATAGAACCTAGCGTGCCCTAGAAAGCTGCGAATGCCCTTGACATTGACAGGTGCTTCAAGTCTTTCAATAATCTCAATCTTTGCCCGGTCAACTTCTATTCCTTTTTCAGAAACCTTGTGTCCCAACACAATACCCTCTTTTACCATCAAATGGCATTTTTTCCCAATTTAGCACAAGATTATGTTAGACACACTTTTGCAATACTGCATTCAGATTTTTCAGGCAACTCTCAAATGTATCACCATGGACTGAAAAATCATCCATAAAGACTTCGACAAAATTTTCAACCATATCTGAAAAAATAGACATCATGCACCTTTGGAATGTAGCTGGGGCATTACATAAACCAAAAGGCATGCATCTAAAAGCAAAGGTACCAAATGGACACGTGAAAGTAGTTTTGTGTTGATCTTCTGGTGCAATAGAAATTCGATTATATCCAGAGTAACCATCCAAAAACCAGTAAAATGACTTACCAGCAAGACGATCCAACATCTGGTCAATGAACGGTAATGGGAAATGATCCTTCCTAGTGGCGTATTCAATTTTCTATAATCTATACAAATCCTCCGGCCTGTTACTATTCTCTTTGTGATCATTTCCCCATTCTCATTTTGGACGACTGTTGCTCCACCCTTCTTTGGAACACAATGCACCGGACTAATCCACTCACTATAGGCAATCGGGTAGATAATCCCAGCGTCTAACCATTTGATGATTTCCTTTTTCACAACATCCTTCATCAATGGATTCAATCTCCTTTGGTGCTCAACAGATTTTTTCTCCCCCTCCTCCAAATTTATCTTATGCATACACATCGCCAGACTGATTCCTTTTATGTCTGCTAACGTCCATCCAATTGCTTTCTTATTTTCCTTGAGAACATCAACCAATTCTCTTTCCTGCACACTAGACAATTGAGATGAGATAATTACAGGCAATGTATCATCATCTCTCAAATATGCATATTTCAAGTGTGTTGGAAGCTGCTTCAGCTCCAAATCCGATGCTTTTTCAATAGAGGGTAATGTTGGTGCAGTTACCCTATCTTTTAGGTCCAACTCCTCCTTGACCCATCTCACATCTTCCTTTATTTTCCATTCTTCAATTTCCTGAATATCATGAGTCACTTTACTCAATTGAGCCACTTCTGCATGTACCAAGTTATCTATGACTCGTACAAATGAGCACTCTTCCATATTAAAAGGTTGCTTCACAGTCTTAAACATATTGAACGTCCTTTGCTCATCATTCACTCTCAATGTGACTTCTCCTTTTTTCACATCAATTAAAGCTCCAACGGTAGCTAAAAATGGCCTTCCCAAAATTATTCCACAATCGTCATCGGCTTCATAATCCAAAATGATAAAATCAGCAGGAACAAAGAAATTGTCAATTTTGATAACAATATCCTCAATTTTACCTTCTGGGTATACCACCGATCGATCTGCCAGCTGGAGTGAGATAGTGGTTGGCCTAGCTTCTCCAATTCCCAATCTTTGGAAAATAAACAAAGGCATCAAATTTAAGCTTGCTCCCAAATCACATAAGCCTATCTTGTCTAACTTTCCAATTCTACAAGGTAGAACGAAACTACCTGGATCATCCTTTTTCATAGGCAATTTGTTTTAGATTATTGATGTGCAACTTTTTGTCATTGCAACAGTCTCAAATTCTCCAAAAACTCTTTTCTTTGTAAGAACATCCTTCATAAACTTTGCATATGTGGGCATTTGTTTTAAGGCTTCAACAAAGGGAATGTTGATATGAAGCTGAGAAAGGATCTCTAGAAACTTCTTAAATTGCCCATCATCAACTTTGGACTTACTTTGCCTAGGTGGGAAAGGCAAAGTTGTTGGTGCAACTGTCACACCAGTTCGAGAATCGTTTTCTTGGGCCTTCTTTTGATTTCCAACACTTGGACTTGAACTTCTTGGACCTTCCTTGTTCAGTTTCTTCTGCTCGTACTCCTCATTGGTTATGTCCTCAATCTCGACATAATATTTTTCATCATCCTTTACATCCTGCTTCTTCTTATCAGTATCAACACTTATCGGGTGCTGCTCTTCATTGGTGGCCGGTATGTCATGATTCTTTGGAGTTAACTCCTTTCCCGATCTAAGCGTGATGGCATTGCATTGCTTCTTATCATTGCCATTACTTGGATTTTGGGTGTTACTTGGCAACGTTCCAGGTTCTCGAGAGTTTAGTGCTTGTGCTAATTACCCTAATTGATTTTCTAAATTTCTCATAGCAATTGCTTGATTCTTCTCACGCGCCTCAGTCTTTTGATCTTGTTTGATCATAAACTCCATCATGGCTTTCTCGAAAGGTGACATCTCTTGATTTGATGAAGGCACTGTTGATTTTGAACTACTTCCTGATGTCTGGTGGAATGCACCTCCTTGTGGTCTCACTTGCTGATTTGGCATTTGATAAAACCCTGGTGGGTTTTGAGGCCTTTGCTGAAACTGATCTTGCTGAGGTTGCATTTGTTGCTGTTGTTGTCCACCCCATGAGAAATTAGGATGATTTCTCCATCCTGGATTGTATGTTTCAGAGTATGGGTTGTTTTGTCGTGGGAAATTTTGACTTCCCATGAAAAATACAGATTCAGGATTCTGTGGGCAATCACTATAATCATGCACTCCTTGACAAACCGCACAAAAGTCAACCTTCTTTTCTTTCATCCCACTGCTTGACATCATATTCTTCATCATAATTTTGATCGAAGCCAACTCATCTGCTAATGCATCATTTTGAGCTGCAAGACGAACTTCAGCTGATGTACTTCCTTTCGAACCACTTACATGTACCCTATCTGTGGGCCACTGGAAATTATTAGTTGCTATTCTATCCAATATCTCCACACTCTCCTCATAGCTCTTTGTAAGCAAAGCTCCTCCAGCTGATGTATCTACTAGCATGCGTGTTTGAGCATCTAAACCTTGGTAAAATGTCTCCAGTTTCACATCATCAGGGAGTCGATGTGTTGGACATTTTCTCAGCAAATTGTTCCATCT